TACCCAAAATTTTCAGCAATAACTGTGGCTTTGGCTCAATTCACTGTTTTCGGTTAGACAACCAGAAACTTTCGCTGTGGTGTTTGGAACATAGCAGCATGATCTTTGGACCGCAGATAAGTGTACCAGTAAAGAAATGTAGTCTTTACAAAGTAGCCACAGACCATAGAACCATAAAACTGAAATCACTGGTACTTATCATACTTAAGATAATATGTTCTGGTGTGAAAATTGATTTGTGACTGCGTAATAACAGTGGATCCCACTTAATATCGTACCGTTTAATAGAATACCCCGTTTATAATCATACAAACCTGAAATCCAAAACCATTTTCAATGCTTTCCCTCGCATTGTTTTATAGAATATGGATAATGTCATACCCCGCCAATTAACCACAGAAAAATTGAGCAATTTTGGTTCTAGCCCTGGTAATCATTATGTGCATACGTAATTATTAGACATTCAACAACCTTGGGCTGGAGTTTTGTAACTCTCAATTCTCCACCTGGCTCCATTAGCTTATGTAAACAGCTAGGTTAGCTTATCTTGATTAGCTTAGCTAAAGAAACTGCATTGTGCGCTATCTCGGTCACAGTATACATCAGTATACACAGTATAAGCATGCACCCTCATCGAGTATCCCCCATAATATTATATATATTTTTTGGATGCAGGGTGGGTATGATATTAACGGGGACCCACTGTACTTTATTCACAATCAGACAAGGACATCAGTGTTCACTTAATCCTGCTCCAACTGAGGACTGTACAGTTGTGTTGGCGTGCTCTGGGTGAGGCTGCTGGACTGGAGAGGGAGACTATGGACATGGTGGGTGTGACCTTATAATGTATATAATATACACACCAACAGAGCACCACTACTTCAGTTGGTAGAACACTCACCTAGAATGCAGTGCCGTAGCTTCGAATCACACCAAGGGCAGTTCCAGAAAGAGCTATCCTGGGTGTAGTTGACTTGTCTGCTCTCACTTGCCTTTCTACCTCGTTGATGACAGTTTCATTACAGTGGATGGAATGTAGCTAGCTGATTGTGAACATGGTAGAGCAATAATCTGTTTTGCACATTAATGTGGAGTTGGGTGATGACAGTACCAAGCTTGCAGAAGTGGTGTTTCGGTGGTATGAGAGAAAGGAGTGTGTGAGGTGGTCAGATGTGTCCTCTCTCTGTGAGCAGATTGGTTTCAACCAGCTATCCGAGGCCATTAGCACTGCTTACATCACCGGTGAGTTTTATCGTAGCATGGTAAATGGATTTTCTGAAATGGTGAGAATGGGAATGGTTGTTTGCGCGGCAAAGTTGTTTATCCCGGGGGGCCTTGTTACGCTACCTCACCAGAAGCTACATATACTCTTTCCTGCTGGACTCAAGATGGGACTTTCACTATATTATGCTGTATAGTCTACCAATGCCTGTGTACAGAACAGAAATGTCCAGACTGTTTGTGTTTTTTTAGGCCCACCTGAGCATGCATTCACCATAGTTACCCAACATTTTCAGTAATAACTGTGGTTTGGCTCAATTTACTGTTTTCAGTTAGTCAACCAAAAACTTTCGATGTGGTGTTTGGCAAACGAACATAGCAGCATGATCTTTGGACTGCAGATCAGTACCAGTAAAGAAATGTAGTCTTTACAAAGTAGCCACAGACCATACAACCATAAAAGTGGGCAGAGCAATTCATGAAGATTTACTAGTCAACTAAACTGGCCACACTTCAACTTGTAGGTTCCTATAATATTATGCATCTAAATGAAACAGCATGAATGTGTCATTTGGCCCTTCTATATAATGTTGTAACACATGCGAAACATTTTGACGCTTCACCACTTCGCTTGCCAAGCATTCCTCTACTAATATAGATATTATTGTTCTTTATTGCAGGGGCTCTCCCAGTCAAAGATGATCCAGAGGTGGAGCTCCCAATCTCAGACAAGACTCCTGCCCCAATTCTGCCCCCACGCAGAGCCACATCGGGTGATAACGAAGGGGCTCCAGCCATCCCCCCACACAGGCACTCGATCTGTGATAATGAAGGAGCCCCAGCCGTCCTTCCGCACAGGTTTTAATTAGCGATAATGAGGGTGCCCCTGCCATTTCCTCCCATAGCCACAGACTTGGAGTTGCCTATAACGAGGAAGATGCAGCTATTTCTCTAGAGAGGACCGAGATTGATTGTGATGAAGGGACTCCCCACCTCCTCCACTTTCCTCCTCCCCTAGCCCCTGAGGATAAGATTTTTGATTACTACTGAAATAGATTTACTTTTATTCATTAGTTTTAGTCATACAGGAATAAATGACTGCAGCATTAGTTGTTCATTAATTTTTTGTTGTTTTATGGCTTTTGGTGCATACGTGTTTTATGAAATTTTCGTCTAATCTGGCAAAAAAGCTTCCTGCAATAAGACTAGCATGTACCACATCTATGGTTTGAACGATAAATCTTATTAACTGGTATATATCTTTTTCTCAACTCAGGAACACCTTCCACCAGTGACACCATTCCTTGGCCCCTACCCCCCATTCAATTAACTGTCTGTGGACAAGCTCATTAACAACTTCCGTATTCATTAGTGTGGGGGTAAAAAGAATGAACGTCACCTATATTCTTATAATAACAAAGCGACAAAAATGTCGTTGGTAAAGAAGAAAAGGTGAACGTTATTTGTGTTAGGCTACCTCATTGAACTTCTTCTGCTATTTCCTGTACTGTGATTTGGCGTACAGTCCTGCTGTCATGTTTCCATAGTAAACCAAATAGGATATCCACCCTCAGTGTGTTTTCAACCTTCCCACATGCTCTTTCAGTGTTTTTCTTCCTACTCTGTTTTCCTTTTACTATGTAGCTACTCGAAACACAATTATCTAGTCACTATGTACACTATAACACACTCTCTTCATTAGCACTTCTGTCTAATGATTAGCTGGTGAGAGAGAGAAGGTACACGCATAGCTACGAAGAGCCAGCCCAACAATTAGCGGTCACTCACGCTATGAGCAGCTCGCCAAGGTGGTGTTGCACTTTAGTGCTTTTCATTAAACTGAAGTATCTGTCTCACTCAAAGACACTCTCTTCCACCAGCGACACCTTCACCAGATGGAGTCTGATACTGTTTGTGTGAGATTGTTGAGCACTGGGATTATAACCTAAAAGGTCAAACATTATCATCTTCCTGTAACTCAGTACTCAACACAAAGGATGTGTCCCTGAAACTATATATCAAGTGCTCATTGTCAGCTTCCTCAGCAGGTAAACTAAGAAAGGTACACTGGATACACACACCAACACAGACTCCTTCATCCCTTCCCTCCCTCTAGACTCATTATTGTGTCCCTGAACCTGAACGTTAATCTTGGCCCAGCATCAATATAATTATAGTGACATTCAATTAACTACTGACAACTCATAACACTCTGTATATATTCAAGGAGAAAAGCTGAACGTCACATATATTCTTATAGATAACAAAGCAACAAAATAATGTTAGTAAAGAAGAAAAGGTGAACGTTATTTGTGTTAGCTACCTCATTGAACTTGCTGCTATTTCCTGTTACTGGTTGGCACCACAGTCTTGCTGCATTGTTACCATATATAGTAAAACCAAGTAGAAAGCAATCACCCTCAGTGTGGTTTTCACTTCATAGGCTCTTTCAATGTTCTATTTGCATCTGTTTCTTTTTACTGTACTCAAACACATATCTAATCACTTACACACGATAACACACACTCTTCTTGCGATTAGCACTTCTGTCTAAATTATTATATATTAATTTAATAGCTAGCTGGTGAGAGAGAGAAGTTCGCAGATTCCATAGGGATGTGTTCTCGTCTCCAACTCTCTTTATGCTCTAGTCATCATTATGTGTAAGCACAAGAATGACGTAATTATAGTCTACCATAATAATCCATGTGGGGGCTCAGTAGTTATAGGAAAGTCTGCAGGTACTTGTTACCTAGTAAAAACCTCTAGAATTTTTCGGTCTTGTGATAGAATATCAAATCAAACCTTTTAATTAACACTAGTTCGTTGGAATATAATTCTGAGATTGAGCTCATGCACCACCAGCTCCCTCTCCCACCACCACCATGGCAGGGGAGATGGTCCAAGTACCTAGAGCCATGGAAAAGCAGCCATTTCGTCGTCAAACAAACCACAGGAGCCGGGGGCGGGATGTGTCTTGTGCGGGGGTGGCTGGGGGTCGAGGCGAGGGGGTTTTGTTTTGGTTTCTAACTAGTTGAGATCACAGGGTCTAGGGTAGCAATGGGAAGGCAATGATGAGGGGGTGGCCCACTTTACCTTCCTGGTCTCCCGTTGGTCAGCAACAAACTATTTTCTGTTTGATGAAGACAGTTCTTGTCTGCTAGAATGGTTTAGGATGTCTCAGGGGTTGGTTCCTAATGGCTCACAGTTATTGGGCAATAGGGCAAAATTTTCGGTCAGTTTCTTCTAAGTTTTGAGGTCAAAAAACGAAATCTGCTGGTAGCATTTTTCAATTGTTCTTTAGCTCATAACCCCTTTCATAACCTTTTTTCTTAATATAGGTTACACTATGCCCACTGGAAGGTTTTAGTGGAATACACTACGAGTGTGGCAGCACAGTAGTGTATGCACTAAACAACGTGAGTGGGTGTAGTGTACCATTTGTACCACAGGATTCGCACTAGACAACTTATTTATTTGCATGCCATGGTGTATTAGAGTTACACACATTTTAGTTGTATGGTGAGTCAGTCACACCATACACCATGGCATGCACTATAAGTTGTCTTAGTGCGCTTACAATCCCTCTTCATTGTGAATTTTCTTTCGAGGTCCACGCGACGAATTTTCCCCATGACTTCACGAGACCGCCTCCCGTGACACTCCGTGTCTGCTGTCCGCACTGCGGCACTTTTTGCATGGAGTGCGCCACGGTCAAAAGTAAGTCTTGCTAGTACGATTACGAATTAAAATAAATCACGTATAGATTTACTACTTACTCTCCAAGCGCCCCCCTTGGGTTTCTGGAGTTGGGGCTCAAGTTAATTATGATTCAAGGCAAGTTGGTCGGATTACACCTCATTGCCTATTTTTAATGGGTGCCTGACAACTCTCCTTCCTTCCTGCATCCCCTTGCCTCTTAGCTAACAGCTTCTCTGCTGACAGTCGTGGCTGGATAAAAAGAACCTACCCTGTTTTGTCTTCTCAGTCGCAAGGCCCTCCACTGTGCTCTAACCAACCGCTCTGCTG